CCCCCCAGATGTTGGGGGAGGGTCCCCATACAGGTGTCACAGTCCAGATGTTGAGGGGGGTTCCCCACCCAGATGTGGGGTCACTGTCCAGATGTTGAAGGCCTTGCCCAGATGTTTTGGGGTTTCCCACGCTCCCATCACAGGTCTCGTCCAGATGTTGAGGTCCCTCACCCCATGACCGAGGTCCTCATCCAGATGTTGGATCCTCTCCAACTTTTGGGGGGTCTCCATCCAGACACCGGGACCCCCACCCAGATGTTGGGGGACATCTCCAGATGTTAAGGTCCCTCCCCAGATGTTGAAGGTCCCTCACTTGATGACTGAGGTCCTCATCCAGATGTTGGATCCTCGCCCAGAATTTTTGGGGGGGGTCTCCATCCAGACACCGGGGCCCCCATCCAGATGTGGGGTCACTGTCCAGATGTTGAGGGCCTTGCCCAGATGTTTTGGGGTTCCCCACACTCCACCACAGGTCTTGTCCAGATGTTGGGTCCCTCTCCAGATGTTGGGGTCTCTCCCCAGATGTTGAAGGTCCCTCACCCGATGACCGAGGTCCTCATCCAGATGTTGGATCCTCTCCGACTTTTGGGGGGGGTCTCCATCCAGATACTGGGGCCCTCACCCAGATGTTGGGGTCCCTCCCCAGATGTCAGAGTCCCTCTGCAGATGTTGAAGGTCCCTCATTTGATGACCGAGGTCCTCACCCAGATGTTGGATCCTCTCCGACTTTTGGGGTCTCCATCCAGACACCGGAGCCCCCACCCAGATGTGGGGTCACTGTCCAGATGTTGAAGGCCTTGCCCAGATGTTTTGGGCTTTCCCGCGCTCCCATCACGGGCCTCGTCCAGATGTTGGGTCCCTCTCCAGATGTTGGGCTCTCTCCCCAGATGTTGAAGGTCCCTCACCCGATGACCAAGATCCTCATCCAGATGTTGGATCCTCTCCGACTTTTGGGGGGGTCTCCATCCAGATACTGGGGCCCTCACCCAGATGTTGAGGGACATCTCCAGATGTTGGGGTCCCTCTCCAGATGTTGGGGTCCCTCACTTGATGACCGAGGTCCTCATCCAGATGTTGGATCCTCTTCCAGAATTTTGGGGGGGGTCTCCATCCAGACACCGGGGCCCCCACCCAGATGTTGGGGTCTCGCCAAGCCCCGGGTTCCCCATCCTGACGTTGGGGGGGGGTCTCCAGATGTTGAACCCTCCCCCAGCCGGTCAATGCCCATCCAGATGTTGAGGCCCTCCCGCCGTGGCTTGTAGTTCCCCATCCAGATGTTGGGGTCCCCACCCAGATGTTGGATCCTCTCCGCGTTCCCCACCCAGATGTTGGTCCCCACCCTGATCATGGGGTCCCATCCAGATGTTGGGGGTCCCTCCCAGGTGTTGAGGGTCCCATCCAGATGTTGGGGTCCCCTCCTCACTTTTGGGGTCCCCTCCCCACTGCTGGGGTCCCCTCCTCACTTTTGGGGTCCCCCCCCCCAGTTTTGGGGTCCCCACCCTGCTCATGGCATCCGCTCCAGATGTTGGGGTCCCCTCCCCAGTTTTGGGGTCCCCCCCCAGTTTTGGGGTCCCCACCCTGACCATGGGGGTCCCATCCAGATGTTGGGGTCCCCTCCCCAGTTTTGGGGTCCCCTCCCCAGTTTTGGGGTCCCCCCCCCAGATTTGGGGTCCCCACCCTGACCATGGGGATCCCATCCAGACGTTGGGGTCCCCTCCCCAGTTTTGGGGTCCCCCCCCCAGATTTGGGGTCTCCACCCTGCTCATGGGGGTCCCACCCAGATGTTGGGGTTCTCCCCCCTCCCCCCCAAATTTTGGGGTCTCCCCACCCACCACAATCCCCCCCCAGATGTTGGGGGGGTCCCACCACCCACCAGGGTCCCCCCTGATTTTGGGGTCCCCCCTCAAGCCCCTCCCCCCCAACCACCCCTCCCCATTGGTCAATCCCCCCCCAGGGGCGTGGCTACGACTCCAGGTGGGCCCCGCCCAGGAACTGCCCAATCAGCTGCGCCAGGGGGCGGGGCCGCTCCTCAGGCAGCCAATGGCTGGCGCCGGGCAGGAGGCGGAGCCGGGATTGTGGGCGGAGCTTGCGGAGCAGGGCGGGGGCCATGCGGGGGTCCAGGAAGGCGTCGTGGGACCCCCAGAGCAGCAGCGTCGGGGGCGGGGGCGGCTCCCGCGGGATCGGGGTGTCCCTGGGGGGGGTGGAAGGGTCGGGGGTCAAGGGGGGGCTCCCCGAAATTGGGGGCTCCTCAAAGGTGGGGGGACCCAAAAATGGAGACCCCACCCCCAACTGGAGCACCTCGATGGAGCAACCAACTGGGAGCACCCAACTGGGATCATCCCAACTGGGACCATCCCAACTGGGACCATCCCAACTGGGACCATCCCAACTAGAGTCATCCCAACTGGGAGCACCCAACTGGGACCATCCCAACTGGAGTCATCCCAACTGGGAGCACCCAACTGGGAGCACCCAACTGGAGCACCTCGATGGAGCACCCAACTGGGATCATCCCAACTGGGACCATCCCAACTGGGACCACCCAACTGGGACCATCCCAACTGGAGTCATCCCAACTGGGAGCACCCAACTGGGACCACCCAACTGGGACCACCCAACTGGGATCATCCCAACCCAAGGGCACCCAACTGGGACCACCCAACTGGGAGCACCCAAACCAAGAGCACCCAATTGGGATCATCTCAACTGGGACCATCCCAACTGGGAGCACCCAACCCAAGAGCACCCAACTGGGACCATCCCAACTGGGAGCACCCAACTGGGACCATCCAACTGGGATGACTCAACTGGGATCATCCCAACTGGGACCACCCAACTGGGACAACCCAAACCGAAGAGCACCCAACTGGGACCACCCAACTGGGATCATCCCAACTGGGGTCATTCCAACCCAAGAGCACCCAACTGGGAGCACCCAACTGGGACCATCCCAACTGGGAGCACCCAACTGGGGTCATCCCAACCCAAGGGCACCCAACTGGGACCATCCCAACTGGGAGCACCCAAACCAAGAGCACCCAACTGGGACCATCCCAACTGGGACCATCCCAACTGGGAGCACCCAACTGGGACCATCCAACTGGGATCATCCCAACTGGGAGCACCCAACTGGGACCATCCAACTGGGATGACTCAGCTGGGATCATCCCAACTGGGACCACCCAACTGGGACAACCCAAACCCAAGAGCACCCAACTGGGACCACCCAACTGGGATCATCCCAACTGGGGTCATTCCAACCCAAGAGCACCCAACTGGGAACACCCAACTGGGAGCACCCAAACCAAGAGCACCCAACTGGGACCATCCCAACTGGGAGCACCCAAACCAAGAGCACCCAACTGGGACCATCCCAACTGGGACCATCCCAACTGGGAGCACCCAACTGGGACCAGCCCAACTGGGACCATCCCAACTGGGACAACCCAACCCAAGACCACCCAACTGGGATCATCCCAACCCAAGAGCACCCAACTGGGACCACCCAACAGGGATTATCCAACTGGGACCATCCCAACTGGGACCACCCAACCCAAGAGCACCCAATTGGGATCATCCCAACTGGGACCATCCCAACTGTGACCACTCGTGACCATCCCAACTAGGACCACCCAACTGGGACCATCCCAACTGGGATCATCCCAACTGGGACCACCCAGCTGGGACCACCCAGCTGGGACTACCCAACCCAAGAGCACCCAACCCAAGAGCACCCAACTGGGACCATCCCAACTGTGACCACTCGTGACCACCCAACTGGGACCACCCAACTGGGACCACCCAACCCAAGACCACCCAACTGGGACCACCCCATCAGGGTCCCACCCACCCCAGTAACCCAACCGGGAGCCCCCACCCCACAACGCCCCACCCGAGAGCACCCACCCCTGGTGTCCCCCCCCCACCCACCGGAAGATGTTTCGGTAGAAGTGGAGGGGGGGGCTGAGCCCCCCGGGCTGGGAGAGGGCGAACAGGTAGCACTCGAGCTCCTGCTCCGTCAGGCGCCGCTCCGGGTCCCGGATCCCCGTCCAGGGCCCCGTCAGCAACGTCCTCACCAGCTGGGGGACACCAAGGGGGGGGACACGAGCTCTGGGTGCTGCCCCCACCCCAAAATCGGGGACAATGGGGTGGAGGGGACACACAGGACACCTTGGGGTGCCACCACCCCCCAGGGGCCCCACAGATGTTGGGGATCCCCAAGTGTGACCACGGTGACACCAGGGTGAGCACAGTGACCAGGGTGACCACGGTGACACCAGGGTGTTCATAGTGACCAGGGTGACCCCTGAGTGACCAGGTGACACCAGGGTGACCACAGTGATCGGGGTGATCACTGTGACACCAGGGTGGTCATAGTGACCAGGGTGACCCCTGAGTGACCAGGTGACACCAGGGTGACCACAGTGACCAGGGTGACCCCTGAGTGACCAGGGTGACCACGGTGACACCAGGGTGACCCCTGAGTGACCAGGGTGACCAGGGTGACCCCTGAATGACCAGGTGACACCAGGGTGATCATAGTGACCAGGGTGACCCGTGAGTGATCAGGGTGACCACGGTGACACCAGGGTGACCACAGTGACCAGGGTGACCCCTGAGTGACCACGGTGACCACGGTGACACCAGGGTGACCAGAGTGACCCCTGAGTGACCAGGGTGACCACAGTGGCACCAAGGTGACCAAGTGACCAGGGTGACCCCTGAGTGACCACGGTGACCACGGTGACACCAGGGTGACCACAGTGACCCCTGAGTGACCAGGGTGACCACGGTGACACCAGGGTGACCAGAGTGACCAGGGTGACCCCTGAGTGACCAGGTGACACCAGGGTGACCACAGTGACCAGGGTGATCACGGTGACACCAGGGTGACACCAGGATGACCGGAGTGACCAGAGTGACCCCTGAGTGACCACGGTGACCACGGTGACACCAGGGTGACCAGGGTGACCAGGGTGACCCCTGAGTGACCAGGGTGACCACAGTGACACCAGGGTGACCAGAGTGACCAGGGTGACCCCTGAGTGACCAGGTGACACCAGGGTGACCACAGTGACCAGGGTGACCCCTGAGTGATGAGGGGGACACCAGGGTGACCAGAGTGACCAGGGTGACCCCTGAGTGACCAGGGTGACCA